CTAATGGAGACTTGACTCTGCCTTCATTTCTTTGCCATGGTCTCAGCTCCATCAGTGACTTACTTTTCATCCCCCTGTGCATATATTGCTAAGTGAATCAACATTTGTGAGCGATGGAAAGTCTTTGCAGTTTTATTTTCTGCACATTTTCACTTCATTGCTAAGGAACTGTTCAGATGCATAATTGGAAGCAAATTCAATTGAACAGCAAGAGTGGAAATTGCTAGCAGATAAGCATTGTTTAAAATACTACTGAGCATGAAACAGATTTTTCAGTCTAAGAGAAATGCAGTGTCCGATAGGAATACACTTGGTCAGACAGGAGCAGTCTCTTGCATCTTACCGGTTGTGTCATAACTCCCAACAGCTGCTTTTGTCTTCCTCAACCATTTTCAGGCTTAGGCATTGGGTCTCAAAAAGAAGAGAAAGGACAAAGAAGGGTCTCGTGAGTGAGGAAGGATCACATCTTTGAGTCCTTCTCGTTTATTCAAATTTCATGGAAGTTTGCCTGAGTAAGGACATAGGGTTTTTCTCATGGCTTGCAATGTTAAGTTTCATTCAGAAGTTGTAGTATGTCAGAGTATGAAATGTCAGAGTATGAAAACATATTGTGGACTATTTTGCATCCATCTGTAGCTACCTGAAATACCATCATTTTCCCCAACTCTGCTAGATACTATGTTTGCCATGCACATATGAACAGCAAATAACGTGGGAAGCTAACTGGTTTCACAGCTTTTGGAATCCCAGTTAGTGGAAGTTGATGAGCGATTGTAATGTTAAAGGAGGGGGGTTTTGCTATGTCAGAGCTGTTTTATTGTGAGCTGACTTTGTGCTGCTGCCTGTGCTTGACTAAACTTGACTGAAAAAACAACAATATCTTTCACCTAATAATCCTGCTAATCTTTCAGGTCTAATTTATGAGTTAGAAACAGTTGTTTTTAACCAAGGGGTGTGCATTGCTGGGAAAATTTTAGTAGATGTGGTCAACCGTGGTATTACCACACAACTGCAACTTTTGTTAGGAGAATTTTTAATAAAATTACTCGTTCTCTAGATTTCAAATGCCCTTTCTCTTACAGAACTTCCAGAAAGTGGTAATGCACTTAGAAGTGATTAATTCATGCAACTGAAATTATAAATTTGTAAGTTTCCGGTAGATTAGAAAAGCTGCTTTTCTGACATCTGATTACATCTTAAATTCAAATATGGAACTGTTTTGTAAGTAAATCAGTACCAGGGCGGCTTCACATTGGTTCGATATCACACGAACTTTCCCCACCCCTCCCTGCCAGGAGGAGGCTTCAGCTCATTTTGTTTGGTTAAAGACACAGTGACACTTTAGAGCTTGCAACTGCTCTAACACTAACCCTATGGATCAAAGAAACAATAAACTTCATAGAATGCTTTCAATGACAGCTCAGGATTGCAAGATCCTGAGGAGAAAATCAGGCAGGAGCTTACACTGTTGGTATCTGTATGGAAGAGATACTATCTTCAGTGGGAGTACTTCTGGTTTACACTCTTGTTAGACTCTTGGAATATGGGCTATGTTCATTTTAAGTATTGGCTTTTTATTAGCAGTCAAAGAATAGGAGAGACGTAGAAGATTTAAAGGACTTCTTGAGTGTCTCAAAATCAGCTCAGCTAAAAAATGACTTTGCCAAGAAGTTACGATGTGTGAAAATCTGTGTGACACATTTCTGTAAATTTGGGGATGGGGGGAGGAAAGGTAAACATACACCTCAAACGCATTGATTCAGCTTGAAGAGTATAGCTACACAGCACAGGGCAGGGCACAGACCTCTGTGTATGCCAGTTTCAGTCCCAGCGTCATCTAGATGCGGCTCCACAGAACTGCAGTCTGCCATGTAGATATCCTGTAAGAGATTCTAGTCTCTTTAATTCACTGCGGTGTTAGTTTATGGTATCCAGTGGTTTGAGGTCTTACGATGAACTTTTATCCAATTTTTATAGAGTTGGTAACACAGTGGTACACAAGTTTCTATTTACATAATGTTCAGTACCTGATGTTGAAGCTTTACAACTGTCAGTGTGTAAAATGCACCTAAGCGTTTAAGAAAAACGTTTTAAATTCATGGATGCTAAGGCAAAATGTGCCCCCTTTTTTTTTTTCCCCTAGTAAAACGTATAAGTCATTTCCTCTTTTGTCTTGTGCTTCATTTCTGTGTCATTGTATCTGTTACTGTCAACACACTGTTACTTAAGTGCTACCCCTTTGTATACATTTTCTCTTACGAAGTTTAACTCAATACATTAAATAGGTAGGTCTCTGAACAGCACTTGGGTCATTCAGTTCTTCCGTTAGTTATGCTTTTAACAACTTCAAAGTTACACTTTAGAGGGTATTTTAAAATGCTCTTTAAAGGCCTTTTCTTCTGTCTTTGGCATTCACTTGTAACTACATTGAAGAGTGCAAAAATCAAACATTTGCTGAGAAACACAAAACTACAGCCTTGCTGGCTCGGACTGCAAACCAGCGCTGCAGTACTCATATAGAACGGCTGCTGTCTAAGCCGCCCTGCAGTACTTCTGTATAGAAATGTTTTATTTGTTTCTGAATGATGTTCTGTTTTGCTCCTGTGTGTTCACACAGCTCTGTTCAGTGCTGTATTCTTGTGGGCTCGCTGGAAGAGTCACAAAGGTCTGAGCGGAGGAGCTTGCCACGTATCTGTGCATTGTGAGGATCTGGAGGACATCAGAGAAAATATCCTCAACTACAATGAAGAAGGGGGTGGGGAACAAGACCAAGTAAGGATCGTTGTATTACATTAAATTAAGAGGGGACTTCTGGCTCGCCATGCTAACAAAAATGTGGTTTTGGCTTTTCCTTTATAACTGAGGACCTCAGCCTTTGTTCTGCTGATTCATTACTGCAATTGGTAGATGAATTATTTGCAAGGTTATGTACACAAGGGTGCATGTTTCTTAAGCGGAGAGAAGTGCCTATCAATTTTTAATTTGTCTTAAAGCAAGTGATCCTATGTGCATATTTAAAAATGCTTGTAGAGCAAGTTTAGCAGTAAAGAACTAACAGCGGATGGTTTTGGTTTCGTGGCTCGGGAGACGCTGAATTCTCGGTGGTAATTACTGCCGTAGCACCGAGGGCTTGAAAGAGCCTGACATCAGCTGTTTGTTATGGACAGTCTCTTTCTGGAGCCTGTTCGTAACTGCAGTTACTCAGACTTGACTTGTTAAGAAACAACATTTGTTCCTCTTAAGCCCTAAAGCACATGGTGGTTGTGGAAGAACCTTTCTGCATTTTTCTGTTTTGGAGAGAGAGATGCTAGTGAACACAAGCATGTTTGTATTTACAGTAGACCAGATTATACCCAAAACAGATAATATTAACATTTCTGCTAGCTGTTCGAAGGATTTCTACATGTCAGTTTAAGCCAGAACTTTGAAAGAAAACTACAGATCTTATAGACGAGTAATTTAAATAGATTATTTGCTGACCCACAGACATTTGCTATGTTTACAAAAGGTAAGGAGCTTCATTGCTGCCTTTTGAAACTGTTCATTTCATGGATTCAAAAGGTGGTGTGACTCGGCAGAGGTAATAATAGTCACAGCACCAATGTGATGGATCAAAAAAAGCCAGTGATTTAAAAAAAAATATTAAATGTCACCTGTCCCAAAATTCCGAATATCTTCCAGAATTGTTAGTTATAAAATACAGAGAGTGTTTTACAAGGCCACCTGAGAAAGTATTCTTACTTGTAGAGTATTCTTAATTTCCTGATGAATTAGTGTGAACATAATAAATACAGGGACATTTTCCATGTTATACCATAGACAGCTATATGCATAAATCCCGTTTTCCTTAATAAGATTAACTTCCTCTGCAATACTTTGCAATTTTACACCCAGAATGTCTATAGATTGGGGAAATCCAGAGTTACTGTATGACATGTTTACTTCTGGAGAGTTCTTAAAACGCACTCCTTACTTTAAGCACTGGAAGTAAATTAGTGACTTGACGATCTTCATCTGAGGCTATTACTCTGTCTTGAAGAAATGCTGCTTGGAATGAAGCCTCTAGGGGTTCTCTATACTGTTCCTAAATTATTCAAATTTTACCGTTGCTGGGATTGCAGCTAAAACTTTCCAGTATCCTTTTTAGTACCTAATTGTTTGCCTAGATCTAAAGAACCCAAAATACCCAGAATTACAGTACCTTAATTGTATTGTAATGTTACCTTAACAAAAGGATCACGAGGGCGCTTGGACAAGAGTTTTGTCCTTGTAATGTTAGCGGAGGGTAGGACTATGGGGACAAGAGGCTGTCTTACGAAGGAGTTTCTCCACCTGAAATAAAACTATTCCTCAGAGAAATTAGGAGTTCATAAAAATTGTAGTAGGTTAGTGCACTGTTGAGTATATACTTAACACAACTAAACACCGAACGTTGTTAAAAGCCAGCTTTGAAGCTAGAGGCAAGGATCGCCTTGGGTTTGTAGGCTGCCAACTAAGAATGGTATATATCAGAAGAAATGTGTCATTTTAATGAACTGCTAATAGCAGTGAAGGATGATTTTAATATCACCAGGTTCACTGAAGGGATGTTCCTTAAATCTGTGTTTGGACAAACTCCCATTTAAGTTTCGTACGACTAAAAGTTGCCATGTTTTATTGGTTATACTGGTAGCCGTGCTGTTATGAAATGCTCGTAGTCGGATCATACTGTAGCTTACGCTTACTTAGAACATGCCTAAGATAGGCATCTGCGCTGTAGGTGTGACGTTGTTCATCACTAACAGTATTTAGTCTCTGGATGAATGGAAATAAGCAGCTATTCTATGTTACAGTCCTGTCCCAAACCCTAGTCTTGCCACTCAACGTGGCTGCTTGATTGCAGGTGGGTTTGTTGGTTTTTTTTGAAGCAGTTCTCTGTCTCCGATTGAAATTCAGCAAAGGCTCACCAAGATTACCTAGGATGATCTCGTATGAAATGGTTATGCGCAATTCAGCATGCGAGAGAATAAATGTCATCTTTTGGAATGTGCTGATTTGACAGCTCTGTCATCGGTGGCTACTATTCAGATGAAGAGCATGAGCAATACAAATAATTACTTGCTTGCCGTAATGAGTTCTGTCTCACACAGCCTGTCAACATTCTTCTTTTGCCTGTAAATAAGTCCAGAGGCAGAACCTTTGGATTGTAGGAAGGTGAAGGATGCTGTAGGACAACGCTTCTTTTCTTTCTTTCAGCTGGCATAAAGATTCTGATCAGTTAATGCAATTAACATGTATGGTACTGGAAGCTTGAGTGACGGAAGTTGCACTTCAGGAACTGCGGCACAATTACCAGACAGCATTAACTGCTGCTTCGCTAGACGGGAAACTTTTTTTTTTTTTTGGTAATAGGTAGTTACTTGGCTTTTACAATCATGCCACTTCATATAACATAACGAGCAGTTTTTCCACAGATTGATAAAATTTTAAGAGATCACTGCAGATGTTTGAACTGCTAAAAGAAAGATTTCTTTTTACATGCTATTTGTGAAGATCCTTCCTCACCTTCGTTGCCAGGCTCGGTATCAGTGTTCAATGATGGAAAAAATATTCAGATCTGAATTTCAGAACAAAAATTGGGGCATTTCTGTCATTTTTATTTAGCTTCTAATATGAAATTAGACTTGATTTTGGACCTCACCTGCGCAGGCTGCACAGGTGTTCCTCATGCTTTCTCATCTGCTTGGCAGGTTTTGGCTTTCTCAGGTGCGTTGTAGGTGGCAGAGTTGGTTGAACAAGCTAATCCTTCAAGTGTTCACACCAAAGGGACTGCCTCGGGATTGTTCCTTCTTTATTTCCACTAGAACATGAAATTTTGGGACCTATAGAGAGTATTAATTTAACGTGAACGGTTTCTCACTCCAGGATGCATACAACATGGCAGAACTGCAGGTGTCTATTCAAACCAGCCCAGCCTATTCCCTCTACAGGAAGAGAGAACAACCAGCAAAACCGCACAGTTTCTTTAGCGATGCGTCCCCGAGCGTGCCGGAGCAGACCGCAACATCAGCGACTGCAGAAGCCTCTTTTACGAGCGGAGACTTTGGTCAGTACTTGTCAGGCGTTGTCAGAGATGCTGACCGTCATCCCCGGGCTGCGCCCCACGACTCACTGCAGGTGTTCTGCACCGAAGGGGAAGGCTCGGTTGCTGGCAGCCTGAGTTCCCTGAGCTCCTCTGAACCGGATGAGGGTGTAGCGTTCGATGACATTAAAGAGTGGGGACCGAAGTTTGAGAAACTGAGTGAACTGTACTCACACGCAGATGCAGAAGACGTGTAGATTAGAGTCTACTATTTTCAACGTTTTGGAAGCAGGGGTGGAGGACGGTTTTTCATGCTCTTGCTATGTACTATCCCCCTCCCCCCCCCTTTTTTTTCCTGTTATGAGAGGCGGTCAAATTCCCACTGATGAGCCACAACTTGCATCTAACTGAAAAATTTAGTAGTAGAAGCTAATCTTGGGCCATTCTAGATATCTATGTTTGGGAATACAAACTTACTGGAAAGAGCAAATGGAGAACTTGGGGTACTTTGTCATTCACATACAGTGTTTAAGGAAGAAACAGATTTTTTTGTCACTAAAGGTAATAAAGGACTCTTTGAGAGATCCTGTGTACATAAGCTAAGACGGTGCTCGAAGCATGAAGAAAGCATGCTGTGTGTACTGTTTTCAGTAGGAGCTTTAGCAGTCATTTGAAGAAAAAAAGCATGTTGTCTTTTTCTTGTGGAAATAAAGCCCGTGTTCTACACTACCCCTCTCCTTTCCCTGACTGAGGCTCAGTTACAGCACCTGCTCCCTGAACGTGGTGCAGATGAGAGTCCATGGATGCAGGTCAAGGAATGAAGCAGCACGGGTGGTGATCTTTAACTTCAGTCATAACTTAATGAAATCCCTTTATGCTGTCAGACAAATGCAGAAACTGAATTTAGGCACAACACATCGAATCAGCTGCTTGCAGCTAAATACTCTTCTTAATTAAAAGGCCAGGTTTTCTAAGGTACGAGCCTCAAAGGTCGCTAGTTTGGAATTTCAGTAGCAAACACCACAGTTCACCATCGTCTTTCATTCCTAACGGGTCATTGAACGGAGCCTAAACTAAGGACCAGCCGGAACCGTGTAATTTGCGTCTACAACCCTGTCCCTCGTGTTTCGCTAAACCCCCTTTCAGAGAAGCATTGCAAGAATTAGGTTTGAGAGGCTGGAGATCGTTTTAATAGAAGCCCAACTGTAGCCGAGTAATGCCTTGGGAAGAGCTGGCTGGGGACGCAGATGCATTTTCAGTGAAGAAAACAACCCAACGTCCCTTGGACGTTGTCGAAATACCTACTGTCTTTAGGATGTCAGAAGACTGAAGGTCTTTCTTTCCTACACCCAAAAAAGAACTTCACCCACCACTGGGACTTCTAAAACTAAAATCCTGTGATAAACAAAACCCTGCCAAAAGTCTAATAATTCATCAGAGATAGTAATTCTCCCAGAACCATGGATGACAGCACATAATAATACAGGCCACCCTCAGATACATTTCAGTAGAAAATCGTGATCAATGGGGGACAGAGAAACACAGGGAAAAACTAACACCGGTTGCAGGGGGTGCAATATTATGCTCTAAATTATCAGTCCCTTTTTCAGGCTGTTTCATGTCCAGCTAGTATTCTGGATTTTTTTTTTTTTAAACTTGACAATATTTGGAAGAGAGAAGGCTTCATAAAATTAATTTTGATTTTTTTTTTAATTGAGACCGCTCATACATAAATGGAGTAAAGTGCAGCAAGAACACAATCTTGTTTTGTGCCATTTCTTTATATAGTATGTGAATTATATATGTATCAGCTGATAATATGAATATATCATATAGATTCCAAAGTGATTTGTTTCATTAAAATGAAGCATAAAACAATGTATTGTAAATGACATTAAAACTGCTTTGCTTACAGTTGCATCAGTATCTTGTTTTGGGAGGGCTGGCTTTTATTTTTATACATATAGTAAGAAAACCATAAACAAATAGGGCTGCAGGCTAGATTAATTTGCACATTTCCCAAACGAGAAGTGTTCACAGAGCATCTTGTTCTTGCATGCATTTGTGACACACTTTGGAAAATCTTGAGCACACGACTGACCAACGGTTACACACTGCCGATAATGTGGCATTTTCATCTGGAAAAGCTAAATGCCGTTTTTACCCATGCCTCATAGTTTTGAGTCACAGATGGTACATAGTCCATGATTTTGTGATTTTACTGATATATTTACCTGTGAGGCAACATAGGCTAAAATATCTTGCAATGTTCACAAGTCGGGTGTGGCAGCTTCTGTATTTCATGATCACAGCAGTCACAAACAGGATATGGAAAATGAAGTAAATACATATTATGCACAAAATCTGTTCCTTCCCCGAACAGCAGTAATTTTGTCTGCATACGTTGTGTTCTTCCCATAGCTATGGATATGCTGTCATTTTGGTTGGTTTTAATTTAATTTAGCTTGTAAGCTCCTTGGGGCAAGGACTGTATTTGCCTGTGAAGTGTCATGCATAGCTCAGGCACCGTATAAATAATAAATAAGCCTTCTGCATATGATGTCTCTTCGCTGCATATATTTAAGGTTGACTAAAGCTTGGACTCTCTTGAATTCTTTCTTTCTCAGCTTTGATCAGATACTTCCACAGACAGGAGTCACGCGTGCTGTTCTGTCTGAAAAGCTGAGGGAAGCAGCAGTTGCTTCTAATTGCTGCGTGGGCTCAAGCTCTGGTTACACACTCCAAAGACGTGTTGCCATTTCTGAGTTTTCCCGAGTGCTGCGGCTGGCTGGGGCCACAGACCAGTGCTTCTCTCAGATACCCAAGTGCTTTTTGCATGTAGCATGCTCGCGGTTTTTGCAACCGACAGACAACTAGTCTAAGGAGGAGGAAATCCTTCACGTTACACTCAACAGAATTACTCAAGTTGTGTTACCCATAGGCTTGTTCCCTAGTCTGGATTTTAGGTGCTGAGAAGCAGCTGACATGTAGGATGTGCGCTGCAGTCCTTATTACAGCCGTGGCAGTAATTCGTACCCAAACCTAAATAATAATAACAACTGCAACCTCAGAGCTGCTCGTGTAATTGCAGTTAGACATACGTGTTACAGACTATACAGTATAAGACAAAAGGTCAGAAAGTTTTTTTAAAACCGCCATAGGAGCTTGTGTAGATAAAAGCTCAGTAATAGGACATACTCATTTGCAGATGTCATGCCCTAGTAAAACCCACTTTTTCTCTTTCTAGGGATTACTCATTAGTTCACTTATCTGTTTTAATTTGCATGCTGCTCTTTAAATTACTGTGCAATTTCTGAAATCATAGCTCTGCTTGTTCCACATTTACACAGACACATACAAGTATTTCAGTACCTCTACAAGAAAGCCTATCAGGGTATAGCACTGACATCGCTCAAGAACAGGGACAGCTGGCTTGGCAACAGAAAGCTTTGCAACGGGTGAGGGGGGAAGAAAAAAAATTGAATAAAAAAAAATTCATTGGGTCCCTAGGTAGTGGGATTTTCAGTAATCTGGTACTTCTATTAATCTTCTTCCACGTTCTTTACAGACTTTAAACATCTAGTAAAAACATTTTATTTAGTATAAAATAACTTGCAAAGGCCTGAAATTTAAATAATCATGTGGATATTAGTATTTAATCTGTCTGTCAACTACATTAATCTTCATGTTTTTCCCCTTTTAAAATAACATTCCCAGTATTTAACATGTAGCCAAGCCCTGCAAAAGCTGGTTGTCCTTAGGTCTGACCTACTGGCTAGTACAAGCAGGTTTAGAAGGGAAACCGTGGCTGTAGAAGGAGCAGGATTAGAATAGAGGAAAGCTGAGCGCTTTCTTAGTTATAGAAGTGATAAAAACCACGGCCGTTTCCTGGGGGTTTAAATAAATAGGTTGTACCACGCTATTGGTAACAGTTGATGAACGAGGAGGTTTTGAGAAACCCGGTTCTCTGGAACCCGGAATCCCCTCTCTACAAGCATACCCTGTTGTGATAACATGCCATTAATTAAGTGAATCTCACAGAAGTCCTGTCTGTACCTAATTAACGTTGGTGACAAAACTCCCCAAAACCTCACTTTACGACTAGTAGCACACGTGGGAAGATGTGGCTGCACTCAGGCGCCACAACTGACAAAAAGACAGGCCGGACAGCTGCATGCGTAGCTCTGCACATCCCGCTCCTCCCTGCCGCAAGAACGCCTAGGCTTTTCAGAGCTTACCTCTGTCGGGACATCCTAATTCAAACAAAGCACTTGATACGCGTAATTTTTCTCTCCCAAAGACTGCACGTGTCTTTTCATCAAGTAAGAATACTAAAGCTTGAGCTACGAGGTGGAAACAAGCAGATCCCTATTGGTCAAAGCAAGCTATCTTTACTTAAACCGAGTGACTGCCTCAGCCTGCCGACCTTGCTGACGTTGAAGTGAATTGCGGGACGACTGGTAAAAATCATGGCTGATGATACCCCTTTAACTTGTAACAGAGAAAGGAAGTCCGGCAAGCTGTTACAACACACAGATGATTCAAAAAGGCAGTGCTATACGCAACGTGACACGCTTGAGAAAAGTCAAAACGTCCCGCTGAAAACCACTTTGCCTTCCTCCATATGGACTGAAACAAAGCTGATTCCCTAACTGCACCTTTCTCAATCCATCCCAAGATAGAAACAACCCAAAAAGTGATTTTCAAATTACACAATTTATTTAGTATACAATAGTCATTACATCTCTTTACAACAACATATTACAAAATACCTATGTTAGATCTCACCGGCAGAACACTGAAACAAGAAATGAAAATATACTTATGGATCTCAAAGGCTTTTCTCCCCTAAAAATACTCCGGCTACTTGAGAACATTTTGTCTCCGTGATCTAAAAAGTCATTCACACCACAACTCCACTGATAATGCGCAGCTTAAAAGTCCTTGCAGACAACGGGTACCGTACACAAGAAGTCATGATGGTGCCATTCCCATTGCTAGTTATTTGTAAGACTTCGGTAAATGCATTGCCACGAGGGTTGTTCCTGGGGGTGGATCCTACTTAATACAATGAAACAGTGATGCCACAGCAACCGCTGGGAAATAAGGTGCATCAGGATGATGTAGTTCGGGAACAGGTAAAGTTATTTTTTAAAAAATTGCACATTTTTAATGCAGTGAGTATCGATCACAGCAAGACCCGGGATGTAGAGAAGATAATCACCAGACAACTGGAACACCCCCTCCCTCCTAGAAGTCTCAGGCTCTTACACCCAACCTCTAGGAACAGGAAACGTAGCCCTTTTTACCACCAGTCCCGCAGCCCCACGCCTCAGCCAGCACCGACTACTCACCGCTGCTCCAGCCTTCCCCTGCATGCTTTGCTCTGGCGGGCAAGCCTTGAAATCGGGGACAGAGAAGCAGCTGCTCCCTCTCTCCGAGCGCGGTGTTGATGCGTGTACTGCTTTCCTCTGAGCTGGCAAGTGGTTTTGTTCCTTGGCATTTTCTGTTGTACTATTTTACGGAGATTGGTCTTCTGAACGCTGACATAGTCACCGAAATACGCCCTTCCCTTCAGTAGTAAATCTTTCTGATACAGGAACTGTGGGGATTGCTTAAAAGTGTCGCAAGCTACCTAGGCTTTAAAGACTGTGAAGTGCAACAGTTTCAAGCAATCTCCAAAATACTTTGTATCTAACACTTCCAATTTCTGGTGTGCTACTTTGGGGGATGTTTGCGTTGTAAGAAGAAACTATGTTCTTGTGGTGGTTCTGGATCACCAGCGCCATTGGTTTTTCTGCTTTCCCAAGACCTACAGTAGCTCGGGGGTCTCTTGTTTTAAAAAAACCCAAAACCAAAAAATTTGCACTCGGTAGTTTCTACAAAAAGGTTAAATTTCTCCTTGGGCAACATGAGAGACTGTGTTTTTGAAAAAAGTCTATTTAAAAATAACTACTGTTACAGTCAGGTCTGCTCAGTCTCAGCTGTTACCTACAAGTAAACTCTGAAAGTGACAGGGCACCACTGCATCTTGGAATCTCTCGTTTCAATCGGAGGAAAGTTACTACCGCACCTTTACAGAAAGATACAACCACTTTTTAAAGTAAGACAATACAGCCTAGCCATACTTTACCCTACGTGTGCTTGTTTTCCATTACTGTAAGGCACTCACTGAGGAATTCACTGACCCATGCTTTCAACAAGAACAGGCATGCATCATTACGGGCCTAATTAAAGTTTTAATACTGATTAAAATGTTTTATTATTGTATTATGTTAAACTGCAGTGGTCTCCAACCTCATTAAGGGCTACAGGCTAGAAATTGCTCAGGAGTTTCAGTTGCTCAGTTTAACAACCTAGCTACTGTCAATGTTTGATTTAAATACAGTCTGATTAAAGCACGCTTTCCTTTTGTGTTAGCATGAAAGTGCAGAAAGATGTTGAACATTGTTTAATGAGTATTTACTGAATATAAAATTGTTTGAGCATGTGACATCTCCATCTCTTCAGTAATTTACCTTAGTACAACTGAAAAGGGAAAACATTCAAATCATTTGGAATCGGAACACAGCTCAGTTGTTTAAGCTAATCTCATTACACATCTTGATTAAATTAAATGTGGAGTTTGCCAGCAGTAGCACTTTAAGTTTCCCATCAATAGAAATTAATTGCAGTGGTAATTTTTATAACTGAGTTATTTGCACAGGCCACAAACACTCTTATAGGTGTTCAAATGTTAATTCAACATTGGCCTAGAGGCACTTGATTATTACAATTCTATTTTTCATAAGAAACAAATGATCCTAGTGGATGTCTAATTACAGTTGGAGAGTACAGTTAGACTTTCAAACAGACTTAACCTCTAATTTCAATATAAAACCAAAGCAGCGCTAAAACACAGCAAAAGTCTTGTGTTATCTACACAGCATTTAGAAAGTCAATACAATTCACAAAGTTCTAGCCGGTAAAAAGACAAAGGGTACAAACAAATCACAAAATTCTCAGGATTGAGGCCTGTCTCCACTTAATTTTCCAAGTCAATTTAAAATAACTGTAGTCTATTTTTTAGGATAAAGAGCAGGGACACAACGATTTTGTGCTAAAATGCTTTGTATCTGAAATAATGTAAAGCAAAGCTCTAATACCTGAACATATATTGCAGTGTTCAGTTTTGGTATCCTACTCCTGGAATTCACACAGGGAGCAAAAGGATCCCCTGTAGTTCAGAAAGCAAATACAGAAAATAGTGGTGTGAGAATCCAAGCCGAGAGATTTGGGTTTTTGTTTGTTCTGAGCATTTTACAAGGATACAAACATGCAACACGTATCAAGCATGCTCCAACCTTTAGTCTCATTAGAAATACATAACACTCCATCGTTAAATGCTGAACGTTATAAAACAGTATGTTTCTGTATCACTAAAAATGCTGGACAATGATTAAAGTGTTACTCTTCAAACTTGCTTACTGATTCTGCACTCACTGATTCTGCAATCACACTCACAAGCTTGGAAACTCTCATCCGCATACATTCCCAAAGAATTCAAAAAAGGAGGCACTGAAAGAGCACAAGGATCTGTCAAAGAGGATCAGATTGTAAGACAAAACCTAATTTTTGTGACTATTTTAAGGATTCACAAACATAACGCATACTCGGAGTAGGAGTAGCGTGGCCTGCTTTCATTGAATTTCTATCATTTTATAGTAAAAATCCAAACTGCTGAGCAGAACTTCCTAGGCTAGCTATTCTGCAGCGGTCACGCAGGCTCCTCATTCTGTGTCTTTAAATCAGTTAAAACTAGAAAGCAATTATATCCTAGGTATTCAGAAGGTCAGACTTTATAATCAAAATGGTCCCTGCTAGCATTTATTTATGAATCTATGAAAATTTTGGCAACTTCAAGAATGTTATCAAAACTAAACTGTCTAAAAAAGTAAGAATCACAGTAATTAAACAAGAAACCATCGATGTAAAATGTCTTACAAATGTAACACGTTTGTAAACTTCTTCTGCATTTTCTAATGTGGGTCCTAGCATTAAAATACTGAACTTGAAGCCATGGTCGGAAACGTTATTTATGCTTAGCAAGTTTGTAAACATGGAATGTTTTGTTTTGAAACACTCTAGTGAAGTGTATGGTATAAGAAGGCAGGTTTTTTTTAATTTCCTCACAGAAGCGAGGATACAACGAAGGTTTCAAATCAGGTTCGTTCTCTCCCAAACCATCCATGATCTGCAATGAAATTGAACAGATTCGTGAAATACCTTTAGCCAATTCACAGTTACAGGCAGTAACAAGAAACTAAGAACAACCTCGACAATACATTCAGAGGGTCAGGCTGGCCAGATTTGTTAACAGTGTCTGTATGAAACAAGCGGAAGGTTAAAACAGTAAGATTTATAGTATCATTGTCTCTATTACGGACAAAGCGGATTTGTCAGAGGTACACATCTGCTTTGGGTTACGCGGTCTGCTGTGGTTCCATGTTAGCCCCAGAAATGCTTGAAAACTCCCCTGACACAATGGAGTAATACAGCCGTCCACTGGTCCTGAGGGAACTGGAGCCATGAAGTGATTCACACTCTGAAAGGGAACCCTATTTGTGTACTGCTAACCTGAAGCTCATCAGGAAGCGATTACTTAGTTTGCCTGGCCTGAGTTCCTCCTTTTTTTATTATCAAATACATTAAAAGCAAGCAGTGTTCAATTTGGCGATTTTGAGAATGTCTAAAGGCTCCGTTAGACTTTACTTCCCACACTCATGATGAAGTAGAAGTAACCCAAGCTACTTCAAATCGTAATTGTATTTCAAAAAGAAGTTAAGCAAACTGTATTTTCTTTATAAAGCTTGTATATAATACTTACATGGCCATTAGCTATATCAAGTAAGTCACGTAACCGACAGCCTCTACTGTGTCTTCTTTCGTAACAAATGCTGTCTTCTAGGATCACGTAGTCTGTGCCAAAGGATCGCAGTATTCTGTAAACATCTTCAGGAGATCTCTTGGCATAGATCTGATAAATCTATAGAAGAAGAAAACTGAGCTGTAAGACACATTACATTACCACTATTTCTTTGTTTGCTCTTTCGTGATTCCTTTATCTTGAACCAGAGAAAGAACTGAGATCGATAATCCATGTGATTGATAATCCATGTGATTTGAATTAAATATTTAAAAAAAAAAGCTTCATTCAGTAGCCACTTAGAGTTTCTGTGTTATGGCTACTATGATGCACAACAGTACTGCTGCTGACTACAAAAACACTGGATGGTGCTGCTGTCTGCACAAAGGCCTTGGTAGATGCCTGTAAAACTTTCAGAAAGTCTAACTTATAGGAAAGGATAGTTTAAAACAATCTTCCCAGCTTTGTGTGGAGTTTCTCAAGGTGGTTTCTATATGAAATGTTATGTGCTAGTCTGGGAACTGAAGGGAGTGTCAGGTAAATCAGGAAATGCTCCACGTGGGTTTAACAGCCCAACTGGGCAGCAGGATCTATTAATGCCAACAGTACCCAAACCAGTTCACTCAGAACTAGCTCGGGTACCTAGGTACAGTTATTCAGACATACACCAGCTGCCAGAAGTGAGTTAGCGGATGCCCAAAGTACTATGAGGTCCACAGAAGAAGTTAAAGTCTGGAACTGTATCTGAAAATAAGTTAGTTCAATGAGTAAAGCACGTGATGTCATTTGCAATGTGCCATTAGAGGTTGCACGTATTTTCTGGAATGGAGCCACTGATATGGGTAAGAATTAGCTTAAACAATCAGAATACTCTTACCTGTTTTGTTCTCTCTCTCAGATTCTTATCCTCATAATGGGGATGATTAGTTAAGGTCCGTCCAGTGCACAGTTTGACTCCTGCTAATAGCTGCATGCTCCCAGCAAACACTGCTGTGTTTGGAGTGCTTGACCTAAACAAATATTGATAAGTCTGAGGAAGTCTCCGTAGGGGCATTTTTGCATTGCTTGTTACAGATCAGAAGGAAAAAAAAGACTGAAAAAATATTTTTCTGCCTCTCCTCTATTCAGGGAGCAAACTGTTCAAGCAACTGTGTTTGCTTCAAATATGAAGCAGATAAATCACGATAATACTCTCCAACTGCAAATAAAAAATTTACTATGCACTATGAGGAAATTCAGGGAAAACATGACCCTGAAAATTTCAAACTACTTCCATATTTCATGTATTTCTTGGGTTCATGTAGCCTCTGAATATTTGTAAATCTCTATATCCTAATTCTTTTAATATTTCAAGAAACTTATTGTGACTTAGATTTGTGTCTGATATGTAAGGTATTCTATATAAAATGTATTATTTAATCTGAATGCTAAAACTTCTTGTTACCGTCCTGGCATTCATCATTCACTTGGAATGAAAACTTTGTTATGTGAGACATTAATCCTCCTATTATGACAACTGTGGGAGAGAAATTATGAAAAACGTCACCCCCGTTGGAAAAAGCAGGGAGGGGAGCTATGCAGAAGATGCCAGGTAGAAATGCTGTCAATTATTGGTACTGCGATCTCATCTGAAATCCAAAGCCAATGCCTAGAATTGGTCTCAAGGATACACCATCCTTGGTGTTTCTCAGGATTGTTTAAACACCCATAATGAAAAAATGATTTTTTGCTCACCTTTCCCCCAACAAGTTTACAATCGGAAATATATGTAAAGACACAACAGAAGGGCATAGCAAAAAGATAAAGTAAAAATGCCAGGCAACAGAGACTACTATAATTAGGCTAATTAAAAATGGTCATAGTATGCTTAAGTGTTTCCTAGCGCTTAGTAGGCAGATAACCATGAAAAATTCTATGAAGACTAAAACAACAGAAAGAAGCATACATTAAATCAAGTCAAATGAAATTAGAACGGAATGTGAATAGTTGCCCAACATCCACATACATGCACATATGGCACCTACAGTAGTCAAATAACCGTGACACTTTGGGGTGCACTTTAGGGAGCCTTTTGAAACTGCAGCTATGAATTCAGTCTTCTTTAAGCTCCATGATCGGCTTGAAAATGTTAAGAGACAAGCATTAAATTTTACTATCGCCTTTCAAGAGATTATGCTTAGCAAATGAATTAATAATTACAAACCCTTCCTAAAAATTCTTGCACTGGTACATTAATCTCATCTAGGAAGGACAGAGATAGTATTTTTAATAGGCCAGTTTAACTTTAGTGATAGACCAGGTTTTCAGCAGTTTATAAAACCAGTTTCATTTTGAAGTCTGAAAATATTTAATCTCTTTTAAAAATTTCTTTTTTACTTGAAGTATTCAAAGCCACAAGTGTCATGAAGTAAATGTTTCATTAAAAGAAATTAATTCATCTTAGAATTTAATATTATGCAAATGTAATGGCCCTGACAGGCTGTCAGCTAGGACTCATCCCTGAATCTGCAGGAAAGCGCAATTCTTTAGACTAAGCTGAACAGGATGTGGACTAGATTCACAGAGGGACTCAGTAGAGCTTAGACATCTAAATGAAAATGATGATTCTCAAAGCACCTTCAACATGCTTCAGTGTTTATGCCTGGGCCGGGAAACTTCTAGTGTGAAAAGTCTGTTTCTGTGTTTGTTCAAGATTAGTTCAAATTTTATAACGCTCTGCAGCACTTACCTCCTGACTTGGCCTTATCCAGGCAATCCTGCACCTCTGATTCCTAAAGAGCCCAATATAATGCAAACTTGCAGAATCAAACTTTCTTAAAAAAATCCCCACAACAAGTACCAAAGGCAAAACCACAAGGAAACAACAACAAATGTTCCCAAGAAACAGCCTGCAGCTTCTTTTCTTACAAAAGAAAGCTAGAGGAAATGGTGTTAGTGCCCTTTTTCCGTAACTTACTGGTAAAAATGCTTGTCAAAAATGTAGAAGATGCAGGGTTCAATTCCTCCCCTTTCTAAAAGCATTCACTCTTGCCCAGAAGGGGTGAAATATAGGTGAGTGCATTCTTTATTTATCAGGTATTAAGAGTTTTGCCAGCACTTCCTCCTCTTCCTATACCTTCAAAGCAATCCAGTGACCCTCGCTTGCTTTTCAAAAAACCAGCTTACGTGCCTTGGTCCTGGATGGAGTTCAAAATCAGGTATTCCAGGTGAAGGCAGATGTTTCCCTAAGACTCAGATTTACATGTTTGAAGTCCTAGAAAATTATATACCTTAAGACATATCACTGTCCATATTTTACTGGGGCCAGCTCAGATGGTTCCCAGACCAACATGAGCTACGACCAGAGCTACTGGAGGCTCTCTTTTCCCATGCTTTGCTGGCAATGCCGAGAACACAAACCCGGCAATGGATTTCATTGCTATGGACAGACACTTGGAAGCTGGGAGGTGATGCTGGGCTTCATGCGATGTCTGCCCTCCTTAACTACATCTTAAAGAACTTCAGCTGGTGGCTGTTACTAAGCGTTTATCTTCTGAAACAGCCACTAGAGGGAGACGTGGCAATTAACTAATATTTTTCAGGTACAGGAAGATTTCTGCTTTTCATGCAAGCGTCTTTCTCTAATACTCCTACCTGAGTCAGACACTAACTGCTGTGGTCTGTATCCAGGGCAGCTAATGTGCTTCAAACCACTGAATGACACTTCTCTATTACAGAAAAACGAAGCAATTTTTACAAATGTCTGAACAAATTATGTATAAAATGAAAGGATAATTTGTTTTTATAGCTTTCTGCCAAGCTCCATACCACACCGCCCAACCTGCAAACAATTTATTCTGTACGAAATGTCACTAAATAATGACAAGGACTTACAGGTCAAACTGATTTACATTATATAATTTAAATGTCATTCCAAGCAGACCTGATGGCATTTTGAACAAATAATCTCATTTATTTTTGAAGCTCTAAGCTTTCAACAAGTTAATTACAGCTGAACTAATGGGTAAACTAAGCACTATAATATATCGTGTGAAGCTTTTCTTTACCTACACTTAAGAATTTAGAGAATTATGTAAACACTAAAGAACAACTCATTAAAAATAGAAGGGTTTTACAGGAACTACAGGTCTATGCCTAACTTGCACAGACTCTAAAAGTGATAGTAATTCTTTCTCTTATTAAGCTGCTAAAGAATTATTGTGAGTTGGTTTTAAGGAAGCCCTACAGAAATGGCCAATGTTGCAATTACATGTTATATCATTAGAAAGAAAATGGCTATTTCTATTAAAAGTCCTCCAGAGTTCAACTCTGCAGTTGGCTTTCAAAGCCATAAAATCTGACAAATCTCAGATGATTCCTTTACTAGCACCTGGGTGCAATATGAATCTACAAAGCAAAGGGGTTTGAGAAAAGGAGATTCTGAAAAGGGGTTCTCAAATATGCCACGTTACATTTTTTTTCCCCTTTAAAAGAAAGTCTTTTTATTTGCAGAATGCTATATTAAAATATGCAAACGATAGGCAGTAAAGCATATTCAGTCAGACTGTTATGGTTCTTTTTTTTCCCTCTGGTTTGGAAAGACTGGAAATTGCAAAAATGGAAAAAGACAGCCACAAAGAAAGAGCAACAAATGCATTTTTGTTAGTCCCAGCCTCAATTTTATGCATGCATATTTTGTTCACATAAAGGAGCGCACCTACACAGTTGGTATAAACCTAGTTCTCAGGCACTATCAAGTTCATGCCTGAATTTTACTGACAAATCAGTCAATGACAAAGGATAAGCCCAAGAATTTAAGAACAATAATTTAAAAAATAAAAGTGTAACATTGCCTTTAAAGTCTGGAATATGTGTTGATTTCAGTGTGATTACCCTTGAAAATCAGGCACGCAAGTAAGAGCGAAGAGTTAAAATTTATAGCTGGCTTGAAATTAAAATATAGCCATTAATATAAATTACTAAATGAAAGAACCACCACTGAAACATAGGTATTGCGTTTTTGTAACCTTAGGAGCTTTTTGGAAATTTGTGGGGTTTCCACTAATATAAAAATTTGCCTGCCTGTCCCCCACACCTGATTCAAATACAGTTGACATACAACTATGCTCTGCCAAATCTCAGTCTCAGTTAACTTTTCCACTGTTTTGCCTGTTGTCTGAGATTTCTAAGAAGCTTTTCTACGATTTTTGGTAACTGCTTATGAAATATTCCACAATTCTAGACAGGTTTCCCCTTTAAAGGCAGAAGACATTGCTTCTTAAACACTTACCAGAAGTAAACAGAGTAGGGAAGTTCACGCTATTGATTTGCTCATTCTACTGATATTCTTCCCCATCTCACAAATGAGCATGTTGTTCCTGTTGTCTTAGGGAGAAAGACCAAAACTAAGAATTTTAATATACCTCCCATCTGGGAACACAGCTGTGAACTATCCCTCGGTCATTGGCAGGACCTTCTTAACTTTTTTTTTTTAGAAAAAGCTAAGAAAATGAGGTGGTGGGTAGGAAAAAGCAAGAGACTGGGATATGCAAGATCATTATGTAAAAAATTGCACTCTGCGATAGACGCAGTCCAATACTATGCAGTAACTTTATAGTAAAGATATAAACCAGTATATCTTCCTGAAAATGCTGTGGTAAATTTAGTAAGGGGAAGAGTAAAAAATACATCTGCAGACACTTCACAGTGGACAGACTAATAGTTGGCTATTATTCAGATTGTATATTTGGACAAGTTAATATGCATTTAGATCTAACCAGATAGAAGGGTTTTCTTGTGGAGAGATTGCAAGACAGATGAGTTATTCCTAATTCACTGCTAAATATGACAAATTAAAGCTTCTCATGCTGAGTTTTAATAATGAATGATTAGTTCCTGACACCAACCTTGACAGACCATTAACTACAGCAGAAGTATCAAGTGTTAGTATAGTAAAATATTTTTCTTACACATCAAAACTCAAGAAAATCTGTCCCACTTCGAGAAACTTACCATAAATTTTGTTGACTTTATTTAAAGCATAGATACTTAACTCTTCTTTACATGAATAATATTCCTAAACACAATAAATTCTAAGTAGAAAATTTCCCTCTGTAATTGTCTGTCATGACTTAAAATGAACAGAGGACAAGCACCAGTTTAGCATTCTCAGCACTAAGAACATATGAAAAATTATTCTCATCAGATCCAGCCAAATCCAGTTCATGGCTGGGAATAACTCCACATGCATATTTTATGTATAAATCTATATATAACTCCATATATTGTACACAGGAGACCTGAACTATCAGACATTTACCATCTTTTAATAAAACAGTAGTGCTAAATGGAACTGGCTGGTAAACATTAGTCACAAAAACGTGTCAATATGGCTGCAAAGATTCTAAATGATGGAAAAAGACATGGCCTGCTTTCAAAATAAGTCAGTGAAGGCTTGTAATATATTTTACTTCTAAATTACTACTTCTAGTTTATGGATTAGAGAAATACAACATTATGGAGTGTAAATATGTTGCTATGGGTAGAATAGGCTGGGTGACTGGTTTCACTGAAGTTCATTGCATGTGAAAGCACAATACAGGGCTCCAAGGAAATACTTCAAATAGTTCAGTGCTAAATGTAGTAAATTCAGATTTACTTTCAGAATGTTTTCCTCCAGAACACGAAACTGATTTTTTTTTTTTTAAATCTTTGTCAGAGTTCCAAGTAAACACAAGTCCCAGGAATATCTCTGTTCAGAACTTAACCTGAAAGTTTTTAGTGGTTACCGTATCTTAACAGAGAACATATCCCTTAAATTCACAGTCCTTCAGAGAACATCCTACCTGGCCCTTTTTCTCAGGATCTTCTACATGCAGTATTCCAAACTGCTTCCACCTAAAAAATACCTTCCTATGCTCTGTGAGAAAGCAGAAGTGATGAGGTGAGGTTGAAATGATTAACTCATACTCCTGAAAGAGACTTTGCACCTATGCTTAGCCATGGCAAGTTCAATTACAAATACTCTGTTTATAGTTTAGAACACATATTGGGATTAATTCTAATAAGTATAAACAATTTAGATTATTTTTAAGTTCAAGAAACACTGTAGAGTACAGATTTTCCAGCCCCACAACTGCATAATTTTAAAAAGCTTGGATGTAAAATTGAAAAGAGAAGGACACCAGGTTGGGGGGAAAAAATAAAATAAAATTATTTCACTGCAAAGATTATTAATGTAAAGAGGTAGCTATAATACGATGGAAGAAGCTTGACATCTCCAAACTGACCTCTTTTGGCTAGGAAAACCATGTGTGCTTACGGGAGCAAAGGGACTCAGCTGGTTCCCTGACGCACAGGCAATACAGCAGCATGATACTTAACCAGAGCAGAGCAGCGTGGGGGACTTCACATATAGCTGCTCTCCACAGCCATTAATATGCTAACCTCTTGATAGCCCATTCATCCTTAACTATCTCCATGGGTCACCAGAGTTCACTGATCAGCTGTGACAAATAAGGAGAACACTATAACTAAGAACATTAGATCTACACAAATAGCATTTAACTTAAATAGAGAAAAAATCCTCTTACTTAATCCAGTTCATCAGCTCCACAGTGTCTGGGTCATAGAATTCTCTCAGCTCTGACAGTTCATCCATTATTCCTGGCCAGAACTATAATGAAAATTAAATAAAACAAACTGAAGACAGGATGAACAAAACAAGTTCTGCATGTTGAAACCTATTTCCACTTAGCTGGTAACTGATCTTGTCCACCTCATGGATAAGTTGCAAGACATAAGCGTATCCACCATTCTTATGAAGGATAGGTGGCTGTCATTGCAGTATAAATGTACACTTTCAGAGTTTGAGATCTGTAGCTCCTGCCAGATGACCAGAAGGAACAGGATTACCCATTGTGGTGAGCCTGAGAAGAACAGCTCTTCTCAGATGCGCATCTCACTGGAGGTTTCCAGAACTCTATTAGTTAAGATCAGTTTGTATCTTAAAATCAATGGGAAACTAAAAGTTGCCACCAAATGTGACTGTTGTGCATTGTATCTACTTTACAAGCGAATCATTTCAGTTCCCTGGACTATAGGATGAGTGTTAATGTTTTAAGTTATTTCTTGACAGACCAAGCTTTAAGAAAAGGAACAAGATAAAGAGGCATCATGTAACAGTTCAGTACCTAACAGCCAAGCTATTAAATAATGCTTATGATTACAGGACAAGGAAAGGCCCTGGGAATTAACAGTAAGTTTGGAAACGCAACTTACAACTAAATAAAAGTAAGGTAGGAAATCTGTATCAGAAGTTAATACCGTTAGATGTGCTGTGGATGCCATTAATAGCATTTCAGAAGTTTGAATTAAAAGAGAACCACTGAAGGAAAAAAATGAAAGTGTGACTGAACGGCAACATCCAATAAACTATCGGAGGGAAAACATTCCAAAATTTACTGAAGACAAAGAATACATAAATCAAATTTGGAGGAGAGAAATAAGGATTGAAATTGATTCTGAAAAGCTTAACCGTCCCTCAAAAAAAGCTAACAGAACAAAGATTTATTTAAGGGTTTCTTGTTGTTTAAGCTAGTGAATATTCAAAGGCAAAAGGGAGCAATTAAGAAAGATAATGACAATGCTAATGACTAACTGATTGCTTTGCATCATTCTTTACTACAGAGGGTGTTGTGGTGAAACCTATTCCAAACCTGCTTTCTTTAGATAATAAGGATTGCTGGCTTGCAAAGTGAAATGTCACAGGAAAAAGTGCAAGAAAACCCGCCTGATAATCTAAAAAGCCATAAATCATCCAATTTAGATAATATTCATCCAAGAGTTCAGAAGGAATTTGAATGGGATGCTGCTGAGCTAGTTAGCAAAAACATGCATTCTTTCACTAAACTGTCATTATGTAGGAGGACTGGGGAGCAGGAGACATAATTGGGCCAATTAAGATACTTATTAGTTTAACTGCTTACTTGATACATTTGTGAAAGTAATACTGACTGGTAGATTGAGAAACATCTAAAAGATAGTTATGGCAGTATCACAACCTTAGAGTTTTGGGAAGTACAGTAGTATTATAATAGACATATTTCTGCTCTTCAGAAGATCTCTCGAGAGATTAGTAAATAAATTAAGCAGTTGTGAAATGAGACTGTAGAGTCTCATAATGAATCAAAATTTCCTCTCTTCATTGCTAAAATACCCTGGATAGCTAAACATTTTGAGAGCTTGGAGTCCTTCAGGCTGGAGGCAGAAGGAAATGAGCTCTGCTTCGCTTCTAGATCACGCTGCAAACCTGCCCTGCAATCTACCTAGAATCTAATGACACTGTGCTATCTACTGAATGCTGGGACTATTATATGGCATTAACTAATCTATATAGGTTTTTCAAGTCACAATGTGATACTACTGCAACTTTTGAGTGAGTACAAGCAGTTTTTGTAGTGGGGCTTGCTATTACTGAATTTAAAAAGAGAATTCTGAGGTAGCAAAATTTTCAGGTAACACTACATTTAATTAGTCAAGCCAAGAGAAAACTGAGAAACTTCAGGAGTTCCAAGTACAACAGAATAACAATGACAAAGTAAGTAAAAAGTAAAGCATATGAAAATATGGACCACTAACACTGATATAACAACTTTGTCTTGTAAATCAAGTATAGGTCAGATTGAGAAAAAGTGTACCGTGACACAAGGAATGGATAAAAAGAATAGATGGAATATATCAGATTCTTTAGATAAGTAAAGGGGGATGTAACAAACTGTTCAGAATAATGAGTGGTATGTAAACGAAGTTTCCAGCTTGTAACATGCTGGTCTCTGGGGTCAAAGTCTTCAGGAAAAGAAGCCTGTTGTCAAGTGGCTTAAATTAGCAACACAGGGATTTCGTTCTGGACTGGAAAAATCTTAAGGACTTGTAATTTCCAAAAGGCTTAAAAAACACTTGCATAGGAAAAGGTAATATGACATGTTATTGCTGACTCGCACCAAAACCAAAAAGAAAGCCAAGAAAATAGAAAGGTGGCATACTCTAAACTGATAATGAGGAATATTTTTCCTAAGGTATGTAATTACTCATTTAAAAATATCACTAAGACCTAGAATCTACACAAATAAATGAAATAATAAACTCTGAACTTGATGACATGACTATAGAAAGAACTTGAATTATTAGGAGATTTAGATACTAAAGTTGTTGTTTGTTCCCCCACTCTAGCTCCTTGGTGGAAGCAAGACAATTTTTAACTTTCAGGAATAAAATTAAATCTTTTGTGAGTGAAAACATTATTCTAACTCTCTATATTGCAGAAAGATTTCAGCTTTCTCTTTCACATTTGTTATCCCTCTGGCTCATGATCATGGATTTCATCCAGTATAACAATGCTTAAGTTTCTTATTGAATGTCTGGTGTGCTTTGGGTTTTCAGTGTACTTTGATTTATTAATAGATACAATCCCCAAATATATACATTGAGGATATACACATGACAATTTTTAACTCAATGGCTGTGATAAGACCCCAGAGCTTTTTGAAAGCCTGCAGCTTTTCCCCACAACCAACCTACCTTTTTCATTCTAGCTAGAAAGTCCAGAGTTAAGACAATTGCGCTAGCCACAAACTTGGAGGTGCTGAACAGTCCACTGATGATTATGGGAGTTCAGTACTTCTCAAATACAAGGACACTTATTTTGAATGCAAAAAGTATAAGCATTAATTCTTTGGCCTCTGAATGTAAGTGAGAAGCAAGTACTACTACATAATTTATAGTTACTGTTAGCCTAAGACTGAAAATTAAGAATCTCCTTAGAGAAACAGGATTAGATACTACGAAAAGAAATAAACATGACATTTTCTTTTGTCATTTCTTCTACAGACTGTCAAGCTTACAAACTTTAGGTTTAAAGGATAAATACATACAGTACATACAGGGCGCTCTTCAGTATAGCCAAAGACTGCTCAGATCATTAGTGTATGTTGCGCTATGTGCTGCAATAAATGTATATGTTTGGAGCAAAAGGACTTGGCCGTGATGAAGACAAAAATGCAGTTTGAGAAATTATATGAAGGGATAGTTTACTAGCAAAGAAAAATCAAGATTATTTGGCAAAACCAGGAACTACAGACTTGCTGAAGCTCAGTAACTGATTTTAAGTACCAACGGTTTATTTAGGAATGACTGACATATAAACACAAATTGATGGGTATTATTCTGTTAAGAAGTTAAATGCAATGGACACAGATACAGCTGAAATCTACCTATAAAGAGTATGAAGTGAAACATGATATTTAGTACTGCATTATATACGTGTTGTGTTATCTGCAGCAAGCTAAAGTATGCATGGAAATACTTAAACACTTTCACTTTATCACAAAGATGTTTGCACTATACTAATGAAGAAAACTTATGTAAATAGAAATATAGATGTCTTATAGGTCTCAAAACATATTGTACCTGAAATCTGAAAGATAGCTAGCATTGTAGCTGCCCCTGTATCTCAATAAATTACTGTTCAAGTGATGTATTTGGGACTGTAGTAACCACACGCCTCAAAAGAGGCTTTCATTAGCTTATTCAGGATTAGGTTAATAATCCCATAAAACTCCTATTTTGAGGAATGGCACTAAATAATAGTTCTTCTGACAAACATAACCATAACAGGTAATGAAATAAAAAACTGCCCTACTACTAGTTCAAGAAAACAAGCCATGATGACCAGTTAACTTTGTGGTGAATATGCAAGCTGCTCATGCAATCTGAGCAGTCACAGTGCATGAACAGATAAATTCTTATCTGGAAAGGAGAAAGGTAAGTAAATCTGTTATCAAAATCTACTTGCACCGTTTGTTTTTTCTAAAGGTTCTAGAGAGAGAATATATAAACACATTCTCACAGAAGCAATGGATACTTTCTAGATCTCTTGCTGTAAGAATTTTTATTCTGACCATTGCCAGGGAATCTGGTGACAAGTTTTATCTTTCTGTCAGGTAGGCTTCTTTCCTGAAGGCTCTTACAGCTTTGCAGAAAAGACACGCACACAAAGATATCCACTCCTCTGGCAGCTGAACTGCAAGAACTGACTTAAGACAAAAAAATACTGAGAGGTGATGTATTTCTTTATTCCCACTGAGCACTTTGAAAAATGATATTTTTAATGTCAATAAAAATTATTTCCTATATTTAGAAGAAACACAAAAATGATGCTTTTCAGGCAGACTGAGCACAACTAATGACTGATCTAAAGCCTATGAAAATCAGTGGCTTCTGTTGACTTCAGAATTGAATCTGACAGGATTTAGGAACTTCACATCTGCTCAGGAAGAGTGGGAGGAAAATTATTCCTAGTTGATCTGTCACATTAGACTATCTATTAGAATGTTACGCTTTTGGCATCACCCACGTCAAAAGAAATGGCATTACTTCTATCATTTTCAAAGATGATGAAAATGGTAAATGGCTTCCCTAACCAGCACACCAATGGAAAAAAAAAATCCTAAAAAGCCCTCTAGCAGAATAATAAGAAAATGTAAGTGGAATACGTCAGTGTAACTTTACTAAACAAACTGTTACAGTCTTTTTTTTGACTTTTCGTTTCACTGTTTTAAAGGGGGGAACAGACTTCCAGAGTGAACTCTATTAGCAGCTTTCTTAACTGTTATGCTTTACTACTGCCTTTTTAACTTTAATAATGAAATTCACCTTGAGTTTCTCTGAAGGTAATTATTTAACAGAAATAGTCTCATCTCATAATAGGTATTGCAGAAATCAAAGCAGCATGCATTTTTTGTCTTTATAAATACAGATTAAAAGAATGGTAGGCCCGTTAAATTAATGTTCTAAATCTCACTGCTATGACAGGCTGACAGACTAATAATCTTGTACATGTCATTATTTTCAATATGTTTTATATATTTACATTTAAATGTTTGACAATAATAATTTGTTTCTGGGACAGACTGAAGATAACGTAAGTACTTGACTACTTTAACAATTGTGTACTTTAAAACATATGAGATGAGGCACAGCAGTATAGAACATTATAATTATTTCTGCTCCTACAATGAATCATTACACAATTTAACATTCTGCATCTTACCTGCAACTTAGTTAAAACCAAAACAGACAACTTACATTTTCATAAAATTATGCATTTAAGTAACACCTGGTAACTTACACATACAATCAGACAAACATTTCTATCTATGAACAACTACTTTGGATGTAATGAGCCCAACTGATCCTTTACATACAATTTCATATGCATAAAGGTACTTGCACTTCAGGCAGTCTATCCCAATTTTTAAAACTCAGCTATGAATCTTGTATGTAATTATTTATAAAACAACATCCCTTTATGAGAAAAGGAAAAGTCCATGCAACTAAAAAATGCCAAAATATTAAGAAAAAAAAATTCTTACCTTATATGAAATGTATAGTAATGTAATTATCGGTATAGAATACTTAATCACATGGGTCTAAGAGAAATCGCAAAAAAAAATACTGGTTATTCTGATGATAAATTTATTTGGATAGACTTAATTTTTAATGTATTGATATCTGACGTATTTATCGTGGTGGAATTTACAGAGTTTGAATTTTAAGACCATATTCTGATTTTGTTTTCAAGTAAAACCCGTATTTACAGACCCATCACAAATGATGTATTTATATCGACATACTTAAATCTATCTTCTACAAAGTGGGAAACACTGTTTCATTCAGTATAATAGACTGTAAAGGTCTTCTCAGACTGCTGATGATTTCTTAATATGGTGACTAAGACTTTTTTAGTAAAATTGTGGTTATTTTTCATAGCCACATCTATATTGCCATCTAGTGTATTCAAATGGAATTTTTTAATATATAAACCATTAGAAAATACATTTTACTTAATAAATTTATACAAATGTACTTCAGAGATATCCAGTTTAAGAGGACTACAAACAATATTCATTTCAGATGTCTTATAATTCCAAGTCTTGATTTGGTTTAGATAAGGAGCAAAAACAAATTTCATGAAATACTGTTAAGTATAGTGCTAACCCTCTGTGATGTGTAGAGATGAATGCACTTCAGGATAAGTTTCCATACTTCCGTACTGCACAGGCCAAAAGATGCAAATACACACATGTGGGATGTCCAGAGGTACTTCATTCTGGAAGAATACAGACAAGTTTTTGCTGATCATCTGGAGCTTTGCTAAGCCGTGTTGATGAGAGCAGTTATGTTAGAGAAATTCTGAACACTGTTTTCTTGGACTCTCGGGACTCTAAAATAACTGAGTAAAACATTGACTTTGCACTTTGCTATGTGCTCTTGAGAACATCTCTGCTCCCAAACATTCTTTTTGGCAGAATTTTGGGAAACGCCTCAGTCTACATGCAGAAACACACCAGGGAAAGAAGGTTCATGATCCCATCAGTTTATGGTCAGCACATTTTACACTTTTATAAAAACATACTCAATCCTCTAAAAAAGCCTTCAGTAGAATTAAAAAAAATATACCTCATTGTGCTTAATGCCAGACATCCAAAAAGAACCGTGTGAATTAAGTTGTAAGCGGCATCAGGCTTCAGTGTTATTGTGCATTCTTCCATTTTTTCCATGAACTGGACTTGATTTGAACCACTAATTAAACAGAAGAAATAAAAAGAGTTATATTAAGTTCTGTAACATATTTCATACAGTTGTCTGTATTTTAAAAAGCATTTAATCCTTCTGCTGCTAAAGAGCAATACTACTGCTATCAGTCCACAATCTTCTATTGTATCTATGATATAATTAAGCCTGATAGCACCAACTTGATGCAGGATCAGGTATTTATTTTCATGTCTAGTTTTCTGGAAATGCAATGGGTTTAAACGAGCTGGTTTAGAATGAGATAAAATTGTTTACAGAAAGGCATGCTTGGTTTACTGCTTGAAGCAGCTACACCCGCAGGGTTCACAGGGCTTTTGATGAGAGTGAGAACTTAACTGTGGTTTTTTGGGGTTGTGCTGGTATATCTGGATGCTACTAAAGCCATAGATTGGAAGGAAATTTACAGAAAAGAAGTGCTGAAAGGACTGGTTATTGCTTGATGTGGCTAGTCTTGTGAATGTATGTGGAAGGCTGATCAAAAAAAAGAATGCTTAAATGTGTGGGGTTTTTCCCTGGTTTTTTGAGTGGGGGATAATTGACATAACTGGGCAGTGTTAAAAATTAGGGTAATGTTTGGGATTACATTTAGGATTGCAAAAAATAAGAGCTGCAGAGTCTTTTGTTTGTTTTTAAAATTGATGGACGCAGTAAGTTTTTTAAGAGGCTGGTTGAATAGTACCAAAATGCCTTACAGATGACTATGACTTCATAATTATAACACAGTTTCAGAATGTCTTAGATCCTCTCCCTCTCCTTCCCCCTCTCTTTCTCCCCCTTTTATCCTGTTTTCCATAAAATCTACGATGAGTGGCATTAGTTATATGATACTCCTTGAATTTTTGCTTAATCAGGTTTTATATCATCCCTTCTAACTTTTGCCCAGGTTGTAAATGTAAAACTGAGAGGTCTATAATGAACCATTTACTTTTTTTTAAAATAGCAGTTCAGTACTAATTTTCTTCTAGTATTCTGTAAATGCCTCCAAATCCTACAGACTAGCTACAGGAACTGGCAGCAGTGATGCACAGTTGCAGTCTACCATGCCTGCTTCTTCACACAGATCACAGGAAGTTCAGCACAGACTATCCTTGCTCATTTCTGGGCAGTTTGAGGATACCACCAGGGAAATCTTTGATTGGGAGTGCTTTGCACAGGGAAAATGGGATGAACTAAAGAAACTAACATTGTTTTCTATACAGACACCCTTCCCCTGCTTCCCCTCCCCCCCAAAAAATCCAACCAACCCTACACATATTGCAAAATTTTAACAGCAAACAACAGAGCTTGAAGGAATCTAGAGAAGAATGTTTCTTTGTTTAGTCTCATTACATCCTTTGCATTTTAATAGGAAGTTACTTATTTTGCCTGATCTATTATATGTCCTACTGTTTCCTTAGTACCTGTGGAAAGTAATACTGTATGCTGCTGTATTCAACTGTCAGTTCCTTAGCCTGTTGAAGAGAAAATTGATAAAAATGTGAATTATTTTAAAAACACATTTTACCTGAGGTTCTGAAAGGCAACGATTACAGCTGCTACTGTCATAAGGAAGAGAACAAATACGTAGACGTAAAAAAGTAATGTATCCGAGAGTCTTGAAAAAGTATTTAATGGTAGTAAACCAAAAGCTTCTTCGCAAAGATACAGGTTAGCATCAAAATCTCTAAAGAAAAAAGAATAATCCTTGTCATCATGTATTTCATAACGTGATGTCAAAAAGGACCAAAGTTTCCTTTTTTTCCAAGAAATTATAAAGCCACAGTTGTACAGATTATTATGGAGGAAAATATATGACATAAACATGAGGTAAAAATCCAAGATTTATCATCAAGAGTTTAAATGAGAACAACCTTGTGGCTTCACATAATGAAGTCATACTAACAAGCAAAATTGCAGCTAAATCATACCTTGTTGCCCCAAATCCAAATTTTGCTTTCAGAAATTTGAATATATGTTCATCTGACTCAAGATTAAGACTTCTCTGCAAAGGGGGGAAAAAGAAAGGAAATTATATTTTAAGTATCAAAAAATTAAGCTTCACACAGTGAACAGTTTTTTCATCATTTAAACGAAACTGTGAAGCAACACAGGCTTACTGAGATAGGGTGCTTTGCAATCAAATACACATTCAGTTTGTAATTATGGTCCTGTGGTCCAAAGGGCAAGTTACTTACTTTTTAGAGTATCTATTAGGGTTAGTTTCTTATTTACAGATAAAGATTATCCAGAACAAGTTGGTTTTAGCTGTATTTTTTACTTCAATGACTTATCATATCTTAATGTGATACTTTTAATTTCCACGTGTACTAAATTTTAATCTGTTGATATGGATCTCTTGAAAAGACTAAAACTCAAAAGCAGAAAAAGTGTTACTGTCACTAATGTCTGCAGACATCTCTGTGCACAAGAAGCAACTAAAAGTATGGTATGGTCTGCAGCATTTTTGTAACAAGTATCCATTTTTAACTGCATTCATTGAAAAGTAAATTCAATGAAAAACTTTGCAAATGCTCAGCAGTATCAAATGCAGTATAAATCTACCCTTGTTATAAAATTACAGGTGAGGTTCAAGTTACAAATATGTATTCGATTATTTGGTGTTAATTTATGAAGCTTTAAGAATGTGTTTTAAAATCTATATATCAAAAAGATTAGCAAAACGATCTTTCATTTCTAAAATGCAGTCTCTGAAATGCAGTGAAATCTCATTGCAATTTTTATTTAATGATATTACTGAGATGGTTAACAAATAGCTTTTAACGTAATATGTTTTGCAAGTTTCTGTATTAAAAATTATTTGCTTACCTTGATGAACTTATTTATAAGGAGAGTCAAGCACAAGACTAATAGTACATGCAGGATAAGTTTCCCAAGCCTATTAAGCAAGCCACCCTTTTTTAGGTTTTTCTAGAAAGAAGATAATATCAGTATTTCAGTACATTTGTATGTATTTGGAACAAAAGCAACACAGACTATTTTAAATAGCATATCCGCTAGGCTTGATCAGGGTCAAATTTGTATTAGGCTCATGTAAGCAAAAACGTATACATAACCAAGTATCCAGAATACAGATATCTTTCTTCCACAAAACTGAAGGGACAATATCATAAAAACTCCCCAGCGTATTGATCTGGCAGAGTTTTGTAACTAGCCAAACAGCCTTCCTTCAGAGGTGGCCCCATTATATTTATGCACCTGCTGGCACCCAGTGCAACTGTGGTTGTGTTCCAAGATTCCCCTAATTTCAACAGTATTGTGTGCCTTTTGAAATATCTATTCATTAGACCTTCCACCTACATATGGCAAAGGTGGCTTCTGGCTCTAACTGTCAGTTGATAGGATTTTGAGCAACTTTCCAGTTCAAAGCTCCAGACCTGAGAATGGTTCTTTGACTGCTCACAGGCAACTCGGAATAGGTGCAGATATTGTCTCACTATAAAAAACACAGTCCTGATTTTAAAAGATCACGAATGAAGGAAGTTCATATATTCTGGTTAGACGCTGTTGTCAACACCAGTATCAGAAAAAAGAGAACTGTAAATACAGGGAAAAAATCCTAATCTTTGAAAGAAACAATAGATTTCAGTAAGCTGAATTTGACATGCGCCTAGTTCTCACAGAATATTTTGTTGGAAGCAGATCCATAAAT